GGGCTGCGGCGCTGCTGGCGGGGCCCGGCGGGCGTGGGTGGGGCGGGGGGGAGTGCGGGGGGCTGGGCTTGGCCGGGGAGGCTGGTACCTCCCCCAGAAATGGGGGGGGTCTCTCCCCTCTCCTCTTCTCTCCGCGAGGTGGGCGCACTGCGATGGAGACGCGGCGCGCTCTGCCAGGGGCTTGTTCTGCCCGTCTGGTGACATCCGCCGGCTGCTGACAGCCCCCATCCCGCCCGACTCGTCCCCCGATCCCGCCGCGGGGCTCGGCGGAGCGGCGCGGAGCGGCGCGGAGCGGGCGGCGGGGCGTGCGGGCCCGCTCCCCCCGCAGCGGTGTCATGCCCCTGGGCACCCCGGCCGGGAGCCGCCCGCACTGCGCCGGGACACGGAGGTAGCGGCTCGGAGCAGCTCCCCGCAGCCGCCCCTCGCCGGGCGACCGAGCCCCGTCCAGCGCCCCGCCGCCCGCCCGCCCCGTCGGGTCTCTGCATCCCCGAGGGTCCGCGGGCAGCGGAGTCACCGGAGCCGCCGCCATGGCCACCCTCCTCCGCAGCAAGCTCTCCAACGTGGCCACCTCGGTGTCGCACAAATCCCAGGCGAAGATGAGCGGCATGTTCGCCAGGATGGGCTTCCAGGCGGCCACCGACGAGGAGGCGGTGGGCTTCGCCCACTGCGACGACCTGGACATGGAGCATCGGCAAGGGCTGCAGATGGACATCCTCAAGTCCGAGGGCAGCGAGGAGGGCGGGGAGCCGCCCCTGGAGGGGGACATCCACTACCAGCGGGACGGCACCGGGCCCCTGCCGCCCTCCGCCTCTAAGGAGGCCTGCTCCGAGCTCTCCGGGCAGGGCAAGCCCAAGATCACGGCATGGGAGGCGGGATGGAACGTCACCAACGCCATCCAGGTACGGCCGCCGCCGCCCCGCCACCGCCGCGGGGCACCGGGCAGCGCTCCCCGATCCCGGTCCTGTTACGTGCTCTGTATCTCGGGTAGAAGCCGTGGGCTGGTTGCAAACCGGCTTCGAGGAAAAGGGGGAAAAGGGAAAAAAAGGGGGTAAAAGCCAGAAATTAAAATAGGTGAAAGATAGAGGCGAATAATAGGGTGGGAGGAAGGAATGAAAAGGAAAACCAGATTTAAAAAAAAAGGAAGGTAAAACCCCTCAGCTCAGTTTTCTGCTTTGCCCCCCCACTCCCCACCCCTGAGCCGGGCACAGTGCCAGGGGGGGACCCAGGCCCCAGCCCAGTGACACTGCAGATTCTGGGCAAGGAGAGACAGGGGGCCTGGGGGTGACTGGGCTGGTGGTGGGGCTGCACTGGTGTGAGCCCAGTTTGGCTCCTCGGGATGTCCCCAGCTATGGAGGTCTTGGTGCACTGAGAGGGGACAGAGAGGGTAGAGACCGGAGCAAAGCCCGGGCACCCAAAGCTTGCTGGCCTGTGGTGGGTGCGATGACGCGGGTGTGACTGTGGGGGTGGCACGTCACAGGGACACGGGGGGTGCGTCACCGTGACTGTGTGACCGCCTGCGTGGGTGCCGTGGTGCGTGGGCAGGCAGAGAGCTCGCACGTGACCGCCGTGGTGCGGCTGCGTGTGCTCGGCCGCGGGCGTGGGCCCGGGCCCCTCAGACATCCAGCAACACGGTTTCCATTTTGTCTCTTTCTAGGGGATGTTTGTTCTGGGCCTGCCCTATGCCATCCTTCACGGTGGATACCTAGGACTCTTTTTAATAATTTTCGCTGCAGTGGTTTGCTGCTACACTGGGAAAATCCTTATTGCCTGTCTTTACGAAGAGAATGAGGATGGGGAGATAGTCAGGGTGAGAGACTCCTACGTGGACATCGCGAACGCGTGCTGCGCGCCCCGCTTCCCCACCCTCGGGGGCAGAATTGTGAACGTGGCTCAGATCATTGAACTGGTCATGACCTGCATCCTCTACGTGGTGGTCAGTGGGAACCTGATGTACAACAGCTTCCCCAACCTGCCCGTCTCCCAGAAGTCGTGGTCCATCATTGCCACGGCAGTGCTCCTGCCTTGTGCGTTCTTGAAGAACCTCAAGGCAGTCTCCAAGTTCAGCTTGCTCTGCACATTAGCCCACTTTGTCATCAACATCCTGGTGATCGCCTACTGCCTCTCCAGGGCGCGCGACTGGGCCTGGGACAAAGTCAAGTTTTACATTGATGTCAAGAAGTTTCCCATCTCCATTGGCATCATTGTCTTCAGCTACACCTCCCAGATCTTTCTGCCTTCCTTGGAGGGGAACATGCAGAACCCCAAGGAGTTTCACTGCATGATGAACTGGACTCACATAGCAGCTTGCATCCTTAAGGGACTCTTTGCCTTGGTCGCCTACCTGACCTGGGCTGATGAGACCAAGGAGGTCATTACAGACAACTTGCCATCCACCATTAGGGCAGTAGTCAACATTTTCTTGGTGGCCAAAGCCTTGCTCTCGTACCCCTTGCCGTTCTTTGCAGCTGTAGAAGTCCTGGAGCGATCCCTTTTCCAAGATGGAAACAGAGCTTTCTTCCCCAACTGCTATGGGGGTGATGGGCGGCTCAAATCCTGGGGACTCACCCTCAGATGTGCCCTGGTAGTTTTTACCCTGCTCATGGCTATTTATGTCCCCCATTTTGCCCTCCTGATGGGTCTTACTGGGAGCCTCACAGGCGCAGGGCTCTGTTTCCTGCTCCCCAGTCTCTTCCACCTCAAACTCTTGTGGAGGAAGCTCTTGTGGCATCATGTCTTCTTTGATGTTGCCATTTTCGTTATAGGTGGTATCTGCAGCATCTCTGGGTTCATCCACTCTTTAGAAGGCCTCATAGAGGCTTTCAGAACCAATGCTGAAGACTAAGGAGGGACCAGAGTCGGGTGCAGGAAGAGAATCGCATCCAACATCCGCATAGCCAAATAATTCTGCATCCCTTTAATGGAAAGAGTCATTATTTTCGTTACATGCATCCAACAAATTCTATGTCATAGAAGCTGCAAACTAAGGAATAAGAAGAGATGAAAGTGCTCGCCCTGATGTCTTTTTAAACAAGCTCAGATTGAAATCTATTTTTTTGTTATTTAGATTTTTTTGGAAAGAAATTATCTGGTGCCCCACCCCTATATCCTCACTCGTTGCCTGAAGCTTGGCCCCCCACAAACGGCCTGTTGGGAAACAGTCGTAGTTTTCAACACTCCTCACAGATATGCAAATCAGTGTTTCAGGAGCTGAAACACAGCTGCCGATCCCATGGGGTTGGGAAGCAAACCCGCTGTGGGCGCCGGGAGCAGGGACTTTCGTTTTAACATTTTGAGAGATGGATGTAGACGAGACCCAGATTGTACGACCGGCCCAACAAGCCCAAGCAGCGTCTGACGACCGGTGATGCCGCTTACCTGCAATGTTTACACCGTAGTCACATAGATGTCAGGACTGCTCGATTCTTCCATCCGAATCCACACCGAGGATCGGCGCTTCCCATCAAATACAAATGTGTTGCCTCTGGTTGAAATCGCAGCCCTGGAGTCCACTTCTCGGTGACTTATGTTTCGTTTCGTTTTAACAATTGTTATTTCTAAATTATGAAAAGCTAAAAAAAAAAATATATATATATATGGTTGGATTTGATGTCGTTCAGGATTACAGGAACAAAACTATGACACAATTCATTCTGTGCAATCTACCAGATCCGTGGAGCTGTTTCCAATGTACGTGTGGTGTCATTGTGGTAAATAAGATGAAAAATGTATATCAGAAAAAAAAAAAAAATCTATCTTTAACATATAATGTGGTACATAAATATATGGAATAATAAAGAGAAAACATAGACGATGAGGCTGGCCTGGTTCGTGGGGGGCTTGGAGGAGCAGGGCAGGGGCAGAGCAGGTTCATCCTCCCCGTGTGGGAGCTACAACACATCCTCGGGCTGAGGGGAGGCAATGCTGGGTTTCTAGAGAAGGTGGCATTCAGCTGTTTGCAAGAGGTAGGAGACATTTTTTGGGAGAGGTCGTCTTACAGCTGGGGGTGATGGGGCTGCCCCTCCTCACAGTTTTGCTTTCCCCCGTAGTGCTCGGACTCCAGGCACGGGAGTTTGCAGATGCACCCCGGGGTTTTTGTTCTTGTGAAAGAGGAGGAAAAGAATTCCCCGCACGAACAAACAAAGGGGGAGAAATAAACGAAATAAAAGGCTGGGTGTACCCCTGGCTTGATCCAAACTCGCCAAACCCTGCCCACGGGTGTGGAGCGTCGGGCTGATCCCCGCTGCGGGCAAAGCCGCCACCGCGGGGGAGGTCAGCCCCACACTCCAATCCTGTGACCGAAACCACCTCGATTTACACAATTTTAAAAGCCACCACAACTAATTGTCCATCGGCTGCCGCTACACAGCGAGGATGAGGATGGGGGGACGCACCGGCAGCGCTCCCGCAGCACAGGCACAGCCGAGGTCCCCGTGGGACTCCTACTGCTGCCCCCAAAACACGTCGAGCCCCGGTAGGGCTGGGATGTCCCCCCATGTCCCCCGGCCGGTCCGGTCCGGTCCGGTCCGGTCCGCGGGCAGCTCCGCAATGCGGTACCGGGGGCGGGAGGGAGGTGTTGGCACAAGCTGGGAAAGGGGCTGCGGGCGGGAGAGGGGGATGTCCCTGCCCGGGGAAAAACGCATTTCGAGCCATTTTCTGGGCAGCCTCCGGAAGAAAAGAACAGGGGAGCTGTGGGGTCTGTGCCGTGTGGGGACAGGGTGGTGTGGCGCCGGGGCTCGGTGAGTGTGGTGTCCCCAGATTAGCCACCATTTCCCTCCATGCTGGCGCCCTTGCCTTGGGATATCAGCAGCGTCCTACCCCATTCTCAAGCTCATCCCCATCATCTTCATGCTCACCCCCACCTCCATCCTCACCGCTTTCATCCTCATCACCCCTGCTCCCACCCCGGTGCAGGTGACCCGCGATTGCCGCCCTGCCGCAGGCACCGACAGCCCGATCCGCCCCCGCCCCGTGCGCTCCCCGCCCGCGGCCGGCCCGGAGCCGCCACGGCGGCGGAGCGCCCTCGCCCGACGG